TGTGTCATGTGCGCAACTGGAGTTGTGACAGGCAGCCCGGGCCACAGGCAGCTACGCTCTACCCCTCCTATTCATTCGGCTAGCTAATCTGAATCGTTAAATTCCATTTCGAGAGTGAGATCATCTGTGGTAGCAGCACTAGACATCTTCCAGGCATGTGAGTAAAACCAGCAGCAGTTCAGTGGACAGGAAGAATGAACTGTAGCCAGCTGACGTGAGCAGATGACGTCATACACACAGAAAATATAAGCCTACATGTTATGAATGCTGGCGTACCCATCCATCGGGGTCGCAGGAAACATAGAGACAAACAACCACTCACACCTAAGGAGAATCTAGAGAAGCCAATTTACCCCACAGTCATGTTTTTGGACTGTGGGAGGAAGCCGGAGTACCCGGAGAGAACCCACACATGCTCAGGGAGAAAATGCAAACTTTACGCAGAAAGACCCCGGGCCGTGAATTGAACCCAGAACCTTATTGCTGGAAGGCAGCAGTGCTTCCCACTGCATCACTGAGCAGCCCTGCTGGCGTACCATAAATGATAAATAATGAACAGTTTAGTTTGTGCCTTCAAGTCGTTGCCCATAGGAAGACGTTACCTGGATATAACCTAACAGAATATCTTCAGAACGGCTCCAAATGACACAAAACTAATATGGGTGAGTAGAGCATGATGTAATAACATAAAATCAAGAAGCCAATGTAAAGAAAACTGGTGTTCCCCTTTAACACATTTTTTTACATCTAAACAAAAAAGTTTTCAACTGAATTATTTTGTTAAGCTAGCAATTCCATCCATCCATCCATCTTCTAACACGCTTACTCTCAAGTGGGGTCGCAAGGGATGCTGGTGCTTTTTTTAAAGCCACCCACAAACCTCTTAAGAGCATTCCCTCTTCATCATTTGTCAACATTACTTTCTGTATCTTCCTTTTTTATAAAAAAAACAAAACAAAAAAAACTTGTCATCCTCCTTCACCGAAGCTGTGGTCAGTTCATGATACTTTCTCATCTACAATCAGCAAAAATATAAATGCAACACTTTTGGTTTTGTTCCCATTTTTTATGAGATGAACTCAAACATTTAAAACCTTTTCCATCAAATATTGTTCAAAAAACAGTCTAAATCTGTGATAGTGAGCACTTCTCCTTTGCTGAATTAATCCATCCCACCTTACAGGTGTGCCACATCAAAATGCTGATTAGACACAATGATTAGTGCACAGGTGTGCCACATCAAAATGCTGATTAGACACAATGATTAGTGCACAGGTGTGCCTTAGACTGCCCACAATAAAAGGCCGTTCTGAAATGTACAATTGTGTTTTATTGGGGGGGGTCTTGAGGAAGCTCAGAAAACCAAATCATTATCCGGTGTGACCTGCATTTGCCTAATGCAAATCAACACATCTTCTTCGCATAGAGTTGATCAAGTTGTCAATTGTGGCCTGTGGAATGACAGAAAGACAGACAGACAGACAGACGTTGAAAAACTAGTCCACTTTTAAGGCTAGGCTTAAAACTTTCCTTTTTGATAAAGCTTATAGTTAGAGTGGCTCAGGTTATCCTGAGCTATCTCTATAGTTATGCTGCTATAGGCTTAGACTGCTGGAGGACATATGTTGTGAATTTGCACTATATAAATAAACTGAATTGAATCTTAGAAAAAATAACTCATAAAAAAAACTGCAACAAATATTATTTACATTCTGGAATGAAAATTTTAACTTTCCAGTCCACTCTGATCCTGATCTGTCTTGCTGTCCCCTTTTCATGGTCCTGCAGTCAGACTGACACCAATTTAGTGAAAAATTACAACAACAAAAAACCCAGTTACTACTCAAAAACAGAATAACCTTGACCATAGACGGATATAGACAGGGGCCAACGGGGGCCGATGCCCCTGTAGATCAGGCACTGGCCCCTGTACTGAAGATATAATACTCAAAGAAGTTCTAGTGACGATATGCACTGGAACAGACATGGTTACTGATAGGTCCTTTGGGTCTATTTCATTTTTTTTTCTCTTCAAATTCTCTTTTACTAATCATTTAAAAACAATAAGATGATAGCTTTGGTAGTGCTGAGATAGGATCCTAGTTTTTAATCTGCTAAATGTTTAAAAAAAAATGTACACATTTTTACAGCTGAATTTATCAGTTTCTTGAGTTCTAATTCAGATTTTATAGAAAAAGGTTATTTTAACTTAATTTAAGTGAAAAAAATGTAATATTCTGAAATTCTGTGTGTATACTGCTAAAAAAATTAAAGGAACACTTTAAAAACACATTAGATCTCAATGGGGAAAGAAATCATGCTGTTTATTTATACTGATATGGACTGGGTTATAAGTTAGGAACAAAAGGATGCCACATCATTTGATGAAAATGACAATTATCAACCCACAGAGGGCTGAATTCAAAGACACCCCAAACATTACGGTGAAAAAATGATGCGGCAGGGTAGTCCATTCTGCTGAAATTTCATTGCAGCAACTCAAAATTGTATTAAGTCATTTGTATGGCCCCCACATGTGTGTATGTATTTTCTGACAACATCAGGGCATGCTCCTAATGAGACGACGGATGGCGTCCTGGGGTATCTGCTCCCAGATCTGGACCAGGGAATCACTGAGCTCCTGGACAGTCTGAGATGCAACCTGGCGGGGTCGGATGGATCAAAACATAATGTACCAGAGGTGTTCTATTGGATTTAGGTCAGGCGAGCGTGGGGGCCAATCAATGGTATCAATTCCTTCATCCTCCAGGAACTGCCTGCATACTCTCGCCACATGAGGCCGGGCATTGTCTTGCACCAGGAGGAACCCAGGACCCACTGCACCAGCATAGGGTCTGACAATGGGTGGAAGGATTTCATCATGATACCTAATGGCAGTCAGGGTGCCTTTGTCTAGCCTGTATAGGTCTGTGCGTCCCTCCATGGATACGCCTCCCCAGACCATCACTGACCCACCACCAAACCGGTCATGCTGAACGATGGTACAGGCAGCATAACGTTCTCCACGGCTTCTCCAGACCCTTTCACGTCTGTCACATGTGCTCAAGGTGATCCTGCTCTCATCTTTGAAAACCACAGGGCGCCTGCAGTGGTGGACTTGCCAATGCCGGTGCTCTATGGTAAATGCCAATGGAGCTCCACGGTGCCGGGCAGTGAGCACAGGGCTCACTAGAGGACGTTGGGCCCTCAGGCCACCCTCATGAAGTCTGTTTCTGATTGACATTCACACCGGTGGCCTGCTGGAGGTCATTTTGTAGGGCTCTGGCAGTGCTCCTCCTGCTCCTCCTTGCACAAAGGAGCAGATACCGGTCCTGCTGATGGGTTGTAGACCTTCTACGGCCCTGTCCAGCTCTCCGGGAGTAACTGTCTCCTGGAATCTCCTCCATGCTCTTGAGATTGAGCTGGGAGATACGGCAAACCTTCTGGCAATGGCACGTATTGACGTGCCATCCTGGAGGAGTTGGACTGCCTGTGGAACCTCTGTAGGGTCCTGGTAGCGCCTCATGCTAACAGTAGTGACAGTGACCCTAGCCAAATTCAAAAATGTTTTCAAGGTAACTAAAAAGTAGTCCTAAAATAAGGCTTGTTTTCCCTAGAAATTACTGCTTAACTAACCATTAGTTCCTATTTAGTCCCGTTTGCGCGCTGGAGTAGTTAAATAATGTCATGTACCTTAGTGTAAAATGTTATCCCTGACATAAATATATCCATTAAGTAGGAGTTAAACCAGTCCAGTGCTGGAGCAGAAACATCTGCCCAGTTTTCCAGGAGCCCTAATAAAATGGAGTGACCATCAGTGTCAAACGCTGCATTGAGGTCCACTAATACTGGTACTGTGGTTCCTCCGCACTCTGCATTTATATGGCTGTCAGTGAACAGCTTTACAGGGACGTTCCCTCTGCTGGGATGGCTGGAGACGCAGCTAGCTGTTGGCTGTATTTCCATTACAAATGTGTGCAAAACCATGTCTGCTTATTCAAAAATGATAATTTCCATTAAATATAAAACTGCAATATTTCCATTAAATAACAAATACAATTAAAATGGCACATTAATACGTTTGTTCATGCGATAACGCTTAAAAACAAAATAGAGGAAAATGTAAACACTTTTCTAAAACTTAGCAATTTAGCAATTCAGAATAATGTAATTCTAGAGAGTGTACGACAGACATACCTTGAAATTGAGCATCAAAGAGAACAGCCAAATAAAATTGCAATAAAATAATGGGAGCTAAAAGGCATCAAAATACAAAAAGATTGGTTTATGATTTACGATTAATGTGCAGTAGTGGGAAATTCTATTAACATTTTACAACGGTCCTAATGTTTATGTTTCAGAGATTCCAGATATAAATGAATTTAGATTTTTTTTTTTTTTTATGCTAAAACCCAACAATGATCTCTGTGAATAAAGATTTTTACCAGACTAAATATGAGATTACAACATAATTCTGATTTTGGGGGGTTTCTGCAAAACCCTAAATGTTAAAACATCTCTAGAATTGATTCAGGAAGAATAATTTTTTAATATCTTTGCAAATTATTCCAAAATATTCTAGTTTTGTTGCATTCATAGAAACTTGGTCCGTTTTTATATTCATTTGGCAAAATTAACATTTTATATCACTGAAGTGATATATAAATAAAAAATCTTAAATGCTATTATTTCCCCCCTAAAGAATTACACTTCAAAAGTGATATTAAATATTGTGATATATAATTTTTATTTTCCATTTGTACATAAAAAAAAAAAAAAATCTATAAATAAAATCTGTTTATTTTACGAAGTAATTGCATTTACTTTAAACGGTACCTCATTGTGAAGTATTTTCTTTATTATACCAAAGTAAAAACGAAGCTGCAGTTTAAACTGAGGATGGTTTCAAAAAAAGGAAATATTGAGCAAATGGAGAATTTAAAAGTAGACCCATCATATTAGCTCCAGGCTGAATTTAAAATAAATAAAAGGCATCCAGATGAGAGGAGTTAAGATCTTTATTGGAAACCCAGCCATCAAACATCACAGCACATCTCCGTCGAGTCAGACCAACAACATCCATAATCCATTAGTTGGACAGAGCAGAGGATCCCAAAGTGAAGATGGAAACCTACTCAGCTCCACAGGGAAATAAAAATAATCTGCAATATGTTTAGATATAATCTGATTCTTATAGAGATGTGTAAAAGGTAGCTCTGATACGAGGTTCTTGCGTCTGTGTGGAGTGGGAACGTCTACTGAGGGAACGCGCCATCAGGCCGAGTTTAACCGCGAGGAAACTGCAGAGCGAGCCGGGTTATAAAACAGAAAAAAAAAAAAAAAAAAAACAAACAAAAAAAAGGGAAACGACAAAAAAGTTGGTTTGAAGAGGGGTCGGCTTCATCGGGCCATGGTTCAGTCCAAAGCAAGCAGTTCATATAAAGCCCAGAACTTCCAGTGTTCTTCATCCATCAGGAAACAACCCTTCAGAGGTAAACTGAGGAACCAAGAGAGCCGGTTCACTTTCTACATCCCACATGGTGTGAAGTCAATCATAAATACATTTTTCTAAAACGTAGGCATGTTTGGAGAGATCATGTCTACAAAACCCAGAAAGAAGAAAGGTGGAGACGTTTAAGCCGAGGTGTGAAGCTGTGAGCGTCAGGTCCTCAATGAAGGTTGTCCTGCTGCAGGGTCTCCTCCTCGCTCAGAACCAGGACCCAAACACAGATGCAGCCCACTCGCAGAAAAGCACAACTATCCATGGTACGCAGACTGGAATAACCAAATAGAACATCAATAAACTGGGTTTGGACTGCCACAGGTGCATCTTTAATATTAATTATAAAAAACAAAATGATAGATTCAGAGGATTCGGCTCAAAGCATCCCAAATGGGAGCATCTGTAGTAAAATCCTGCCTTCCCCCTTCAGCCGCAGCTCTTTAGATCTGCAAAGGAAAACAGGAGTCATCATTTCAGCTGTTTGCTTTGAAGTCGAGGGAAAATTTCCTTTAAAACAGAAGCTTTCTGAAGACGGAGATGAAAATAAAACAAAACTTACATCATCAATATCCTCATCATCGTCACCGATGTCATCGAACTGGATCTCGTCGTCGTCTCCGGGTCCGAAGGTGTCCGTCTCGTTGATTTTAGCTGCGCGAAACATGAAAATTGCGTTTTAATGTTCTGATGGGAGCTTCTGCTCCGGCAGAACCAGAACCCATAGAACTCAGACCCTGAAGAAAGGTGCCACTCACCGTGTTCTGGAAGCTCTCCGTAAGCTTTCAAAGCGCGAGCTTCGTCTGCGTTGTACTTCAGGATCACGTCAGCTTTGTTATCCTGGAACACAGATGGAGATTTTAGGAACACCGCCGATCAGTTTCCCAAAATGCAATGGCGGGAACACGGATCTTAACCGGTAAAATCCTCTGAGGATAGAAGCGTTTAGAGCAGAGCAGTCCAAAGTTAAGCACCAAGGTCATCTAGGTAAAACTACTTTTATCTGGATGATCTATTCACGATTTAAAACAAACCTTCAAGTAGTTATTTTTTACCTGATAAGTCATTCATTTTTTTAAAGAAAGGAAATTCTTATGGAGGAGAAAATGATTTGCACTGATAAAAAAAGGTTGAACGATTTCTGAATCTTTTGGAGTCAAGATTTTGTTTTTGTTGATCTAGAAACTATTTAAAGTCCATTTTTAGCAAAAACAACCAGAACCCCGTCAGACACGCATATTGTACTAAACAATACGGTTAATGAAAGTCAAAAGGACGATTTAATGTTAAAATCCTTTGGACATTGGGAACCGGACTTCCTCTGATGTCAGAATGAAAACATCAAAGGTATTTATCATTTAATAAGAGAGAAATTCTGTTTAAAAATGCTTCTAAAACAGGATAATGAGCTGCAGTCGGGCCACAGACCATTCCCCAGCTGTGTTTTATACATTTAGATAAAAAAAAAAAAAGTTCTTTTTAATTTTTCTTATAATACAGACATCCCAACCCTCCCTAATATAGATAGCTGTTCATGGATGCCCGCAAGTCGGATAAATTATCCTGGATTTCTCCGCTTCAAGCTTCTTTTCAGGTTCCACATATATCGTAATATAAAATATCTGATGAAATTGTTTTATAAATGTTTTCTTTTTAAATATAGCACTTTTAGAGATTTTAGAGCAGCATTTAGTGATTTTTTCCCAATTAGAAACAAAGGCATGAATGGAGGAAACCCAAACAGCCGGATGTTGGTTCTGATAATCATGCAGCTCTGAGTCTCACTGAAGCTGAAAACTGAAACCAGTCCTGGTTCTGCTAGACTTCTGGACCCACCTGGTAATCCCTGAGGCCCACCAGGATGATGTCTGATGTGTTTATCCAGACCTGGAGGAGAGAGAGAGAATGAAGCAAAGCCGCGGTCAGAGCGACCTTTGTGACCTTCACAAAAATCACGCCTGAATGGGCGCCGTGGAAACCGCTGACATTGTTATTTTTACCTGCGTGTCCGTCCTACCTTTTTCCGGAGCTTTCCTCTGATGTGGCACAGCCGCTTGGTTCCGTCGAAGCACATGGCCTCCAGACGGCCGTTCCCCAACATCTTAATCACCTGAGCGTACTCTGAGCGAGAGGAGGGAAAACGGATCCTTTGGTCAGACACCCTGACCTTCAGAAGCAGCAGCTAGGAGGGAAAGGTTCTTTAACCCTTTCATTAAAATCAAATCACAAACAGGTCATAACCGGAACTGGAACAAGGCATGGGGTTTTCAAATTAGCCCTGTTCCTGTAAGGCCGCCACCATCATGTCCCAGCTATGATGATGATGATGGGCCATGCTTGACTTCTGCAGCTCTCCCAGAGGTCTGACTTCTCTGAACCCTGCTCTCCTTTCCCAGCCGTTGATTTAAGGCAGACCTCCATCCTGGTTGGTCTGCAGCTGGTCCATCCTCTGTCCATCTTCATTCTGCTGGGTTCCTTGCTCTACATGCTGATGGTTGACATTTAACGCTTATCTGAACTGATCTCTTAAAGTCGTAGGGAAACAGGCATTCCAACTGTTGCTTTTCTGAATTCTCCCGAATGGTGCATGACTTGAATAAAGTGAATGTGATTGGTCGATTATCAAGAGATTGTTGTGGCAGAAGTTTCGCCAGCTATTTGATTATGGCCAGTTTGACAGAAGCATCTTGCTAACCAGTTAGCAACTTAGTGCTAGCAGGTTCCCAATGGGAAATTCCATTGGGACCAAGTAGCACTAAATTGGTGACTTAGAAACGACACTGTCAAGGAACGCTATGGACAGAGGAAACATGCAAGAGGAGGAGAGTTTAGTGTCGGAGGTCGTGGATGAGTCTCCTCTGTCGTCCATTTTTTATTTAGAGGAGGAAAGCGGGATGAAGATGTTGTGGAAGAGGACGCCAGGGCGGCAGAAGCTTGGTTTGGTGTAGAAGGCTTCCAGCCGTACATGTTTGAGCCCTTGCCTCGCAACGCTGCCAGTTCTGTTAGCTCTACGCCTGCTGAAGACACAGACGTCCATCCCCGTGAACACTGGGACGGAACTCAATGGGAATGGAAATGATTCTGATTTCAACCGTTGCGTATATTAGCTGGGACATATGAATCAAGATGCTATGACCGAAAAAATGTGATTGACAGATGACCGTTGATATATGATTGGCTGAATTTAGGTGTTCAGGCTGACGTAGAACTAACTGGCCTGAAGATGATAATGGTAATAATTTTTTTTTTTATATATATAAATTTTCTAAATTTTGGGACAATATGGTCTGATAAAGAGTACATTTATATACATGTTTAAGCCAGAATGATTTGACATTTAAATAGGATTTCCCTACGACTTTAAGGCTACTGGTTGAATCAGGTCTTGTTTAATGACATCAGGGTAAACAGGACCATGTTATAAATACATGCCACACTTTTCAGATTTTTCTGCACTTCCTTGTGCCAGTAACAGGATCAAAACACAATAAGAACATTAAAGACTGTAGTTAACCAGAGCTTTAGAGTGGTTCCTGAACCTCTACAGCCGCAGTTCTCAAAGTGTGTGGCGCGACCCACTGGTGGGGAATTGAGACGTGACAGGTGGGGCGCGCCAAGTTCCGGTGTGTGTGTGTGTGTGTGTGTGACTATAAATGTAGAACGTGTGAGAGCAAACTGTCCTTATAGCTGTATGTTGCCGCTTTTTAGACCAATCAAACCCACAAAGTAAGCATTACTAGCCTACATGCAGTCTAATTAAAAGAACATTAGATATGAGAAAAATTTCACCTGGAACTGAAGTGCCAAAATAATGATTGACGTGATGTCGGCATATTATTTGTAACGGAATAAACTTTCGCGCCCCAGTGTTGCCAACTCAGCGACTTTGTCGCTATATTTCAGACCCCTCCAGCGACTCTTTATCAAAAAAGTGACTAGCGACAAATTAGCGACTTTTGGAGACTCTTACGTGAAAGCACGTATCGTTCCTTTTCTTGTCCTCCAGCGGCAGGTGCTGCCGTGGGGCGCCTCCCCCATCCCCACCTCGTTCTCCCCCGCTATCACAGGAGTCCCTTTCAGCGCTGCAGTCAGAGACACAGCATGTTTACCCTCAGCGTCCAGACTGCAAATAAAGCGCACGTGCGCCGGGATTGACGGCGCAGGTTGATCATAAATAACTGAATTTGAAATATTTTATCTTAAATAAATAGGACCAGTTTATTGAAATGACGTCTGACTCCACCCTGAGGCTCAGGTTTAATGCTCAGACTCATAGTGAATTCTGGTTTGGAGTGGAGAGGGAGTTTCCACTCATCGGGCAGAGAGCTGTGTGCATTCTTCTTCCCTTTGCCACATCATATCTCTGTGAGATGGGCTTTTCAGCTGTTGCTTCACTGAAAACAAAATACAGATCTCAGCTGAACATTGAGCATGACTTGAGAGTGGCAGTATCAAGCCTGCAACCCCGTTTTGATAAACTGCAATGCAAAACAGGCTCATTGCAGCCACTAATGCAGGGATAAATAGACCTGTATTGCCAGATGGATTTCACTTCTTTTCTTTTATTAACAGATTGCAGAGTGGCACTTTAATTTTTTCTATCTTTGAGCTTGATACAAATTTTGACACAGCTGCATTTTTATTTTCTTTATTTTTGAGCTTGCTGTTATTTGATGTAGATAGTTTGTATTTAGATACTACTTGTTACTTCAATAAAATTGGAACATTTTAAAATTGTTGCATATTTCATTAGCATTGTGTTGGGGCGATGGGGACAGGCGGGGCTTGAAAATTCCCTCTTGTCCAAAGTGGGGAATGACAGAAAAAGTTTGAGAACCACTGCTCTACAGGAAGATAGGTGTCAGACAGAGAAAGGAAAATCATTAGGATGTGAAGAAACACAGAGATAAACATCAGCAGGTGGAGGAAAAAGCTCTGTGTTCATAAAACAGCCTCAGTTGAAGCACAGATTAGACCAGGCGTGGTTCTGGTCGCGTTCCTGGATTATTTTCTCAATTCAGACACCCAATCTGACATGAACCTGTTTGTTAGAGGTCTGATAACCGATGAAGTGTCCTTAAAGACAGGAGATTAGGCTCGTTTCTTCTCATCTGTCTTCATCAATGATGGAAATACCTTTGATTACAGCTGATCTTTGCTTCTTTTTAGAACATCATTAAAAAAAAGGTAAAATCAAGAACATTAAGTGAAATAAACCTTTCCCCCTACCCTTTAGGAACAGATAAAATTACATTTCTTTGCAGAGCTCATTTGCTTCAAGCAAACATCCCATAATCCTCTGCTGCATCACCGTCACATCACCAAACCGATAAGACACAAACTAGATTGAGCGATTGAACCTCGCCAACATCAGCTGATACTGACGTGTTAATGCAGACATCCAGTATTAATAAATCAGTACTGGGATTAAAATCTGGAAACCAGTGCTTGTTAGGCAGCAGGTCGAACTAGAACCAACTGGATTTTAGTTTGAGATTCCCTCCATCAGGTCTTCAGGTGGATACGTTTGTCTTTTCTGTTCATTTTTCAGAGGAAATCTTCTTTCTAGCATGAGATTTGATTTTATAACCTTCCTGGAAACTTTACAGACCCTGAGATCTGGAGTTAACACTCTACTCCTGGATTATATCCCAGGATTACTGGGAGAAAATTTTTTTTCTTGAATCTTTACATCAGTTCATATGTAAAGAGAAGAAATGACATAAAGTTAAATTATTTTAAATCAAATCTCATTATTTAATACAGTCCCAACCCCTACTTTTAGACGCCCTTAATGACGTATTGATGTGGTTTATTGTCAAAGCATCGCTTGGCTAACAACATTTGAGGGAAGCTTAAAGTATCAGACTCCACCCAGTGGATTTCAGGAACATTGGGTGCTTCTATCTAAGCTTTGGTTTAGCACAGCTGTTTTTGGCCAGATGTTTTATTAATGCTTCTGTTGATGTTTCCATCATCACTATTAGTTCCTGAGTTACTGAGAAGCCTCTGCCTCCCCACCAGAAGAACTACTGCTGGTGTCTAACAGACGAACCCCCACCACAGGTACTGTACTACAAAGTAAAGACTCATTCCTGCAGGAAAAGATTTAGCAACAATTCTGGTTCCTGTAGTTTGTTATTGATCAGATCGAGCGTTGCAGCTGAACTCACCTTGGCCGTCCTCTTTGAACACCAGCTCCCTCTTCTCAGACTCATTCTCGTTCTTTCCACGTCGCCGATTCTTTCCTCCTTTACCTGCAGGCAGAGCGAGCAGCGTTTAGTCTGTGAACTTTTAAAAACATCCAATGAAGCAGAGGAGGAATCTCTCTGAAGCAAAAAAAAAAACAAAGTCTGCTTGGAGATGCTGGATCACAACCACAGCAACCGCTTCCTTCAGACACTAAAAGCTCATAGGAGACATTTTAAGTCTACGCTCAAAGCTTCCTCTGGTCCCAAAAGACTTTAATGGAAGGAGAGATGGCCGCTGCTGCCAGGACACCTGCTGAGTACTGCTAGCTGTGAAATGTGTCATGTTTATTAGTGTGGAGACATAACGTAGAGTGGAAGAAAACATCAGATCTATTTAAAAAATCTAGACCAGTCCAGTCAGGATTGGATGACCCACGTGATGGAACATTCCTCATTAAACAGGGTTTATACAGGAATGATTAACTCCAATTTAATGAGTTTTAATGCCATCAACAAGTACCCATGATTATCCTATATATATTTATATTTTCCCATTATCTAGGCTTTTCTCCGCCTCAAGCTTTTTTTCCGAAGCTTTACGATCAAGCTGAAGCAGTTCAATATATTGAAAATATATTGTGATATATCTGACAAAGAAAATGTTAGAATCGTATTTTTTTAAATGCCATGATAACCACATTTTATTAATTTGATGCCAATTAAGGCCTTAATTTGAAAAATAATAATTTAATGACTTAATTATTTTTAATTTCCCGGGGAAACCCTTTAAAAAATATATTAAAGTTAAAATGAACTTACTTTCCCTTTAATTTTACTTCTCATGTCTTAAAACAAACTGCTTTCCTCCAGAACCTTCCAGTTTAGATAAAATAAACCAAGTTTAACAGTTTTCTAGGCTTTCTAAGACCCCATTAGAACCTGATCAGACTGTCAGCTTAGGAAGACAAATACCTGCAAAGAAAGAACTGAAGGATTTCCTTCCCTCACAGTGGAAATAGCTTCGAGAGCTGAATCTGAGAGGCAAACTACCAACATTTATGATCTGGGAGCTTTTAAAGGTCTTTAAGATGAATTGATTTGACATTTAAATGGTTTGAAATAAAGAACAAGGAAATAAACTTTAAACTAATTCCAACTTTAAAAGATCAAAGACCTTCAGATAAGCTAAAGAACTATTGATTAAGGCTTACATTAATAATTACTCCGATGTTAAACTAGACAGAGTAAAATAAAAACGGCTAGATGAGTAAAGATTAGTCCTTCCTGTATGAATGAAACATTTTAAGGAATTCGCCATTTAAACCGGTTTAAAAACCACACAACTTGGGATTTTTTATTAACTGCTCTATGGTTCATAAATAGTGGCTAATTAAGCAAATTTGCTAATATAAGGGCAACTTAGAGCTAATCACGTTAGGTTTTGATATTATTTTAAAAGTTAAAGTGTTAAATATTGTAGTTAGTGAGCAGATGTCAGAAGGCCAACCCAGGGTGGAGCTAACTGTACCAGCTAGCTGCTAGCTAACCGCCTTTTAAATGATGTAAAGCTTTAACATACATTAACTAACTTTAATATTATTGACATTCAGAGTGTATAATAAGCAGAGGCCGGGGTGGAGGATCAGTAGCGGGCTCCTGTACCTGCTGCTAACGCGGTTAGCCGGCCCGGGTCACGTTTTCCTCACGGCGGGCTGAACTACCGCAGAGCTCATTAACCCCAGTAAAGCCCTCCATGTTCGGCCGCTTACCTTTATTTTTGGGCATATTCCTTCACACCAGGTTTTCTTTAACCCCACTCGGCACAACTCACGGTTGATATCTGTTTACAAACGTCAGGGAGGATCAGGTTAAACCAAACTGTACGCAGCGAGAAGCTATCTGGTTAGCGCCGAGGCTCTGTCTGTGCGCATGCGCAGAGTGTCTCGCTGAAAAAACGGCAGTGCTTTATTGAAAACTGTGACGCAGCACGCGAGCGGCGCCGCCATGTTTGGAAGGGCAGAGTTTTCCGGAATGGGTTGAACAAAAGGGTTCCAATACAGAGCAAAAGCATTTTCATCACAGTTGATGTTCTGGAACTAATTTAAAATAGGACAAAGACTGAAATATTGAAACAAAAAAGGTGAATCTACTAATTTACAAACTTCAAAAAGACTAACAAAAAAGCCTGTATTTCTTTGTTAGGCATATTTAGTGAACCATAAAGCCAAAGATGGCTGATGTATAGCAGAGGAAACCCGTGATAATATCTCCAGTGCAACACCTTAAATTGCCAAATTAATATTAAAACCAACAGCAAAATTAAGAGAAAAAAAAGGTAAAAAATAAAATCTGCAACAGTTCTGTGCCGGTGCATAACATAGGGAAATGGATCAGTATCATGTCTTTAGTTCAGGGGCCATAACTGGGGACTAGACCAGGTCTACAGGGATACTGGCTGATCTCTGACCACTACTGTTTCCATGGTAACCAAAGATGCTCTGGCCGATGAGGGATATTCATATTCGCTACATGAGGATGTTTGATGTGTGTAAAACCTGCCCTGTTTGAATTTGCCTCCTTTACTCCAGTAGAGGGACAGCAGACTTTTATATTTGGCCACTTTGGCATCAATAAGTTTACAAAAGGACCAGTCCTACGTATTAGAACTGTTATCATATATATTTAGCAGTTTTACCTGCTTTGTATACCTTTAAAATACAACGGAAGTCACTCTGGAGCTGTACTTTTGCCAGTGTAGAATATCTGACTGAAGATTCTCACACTGTGAAACATGCAGAAGGTTGACGTTTTTCTGCTCAAGCTAAAGGCTGGCTTCTTCTCAGACTAATCCTGAAGAAACAAACGTTTTATATTGACTGTTTGATCCGGGTCATTGTTGTGTCGGTGGATTAAGCGTCTGAGGCCCAGAACCCTCTGGAGCAGGTTTTCCTGATGAATAGCTGTAATTGTCTGCTGTCTTGTCTAACCTCTAACATCCCCACAGCATTATACTACCAACATCATGCTTCTCAGTAGTGATGGTGTTACCCAGGTGATGAGCAGCAGCTAATATCTACATTTATAACCCTGGACAGAAATCTTTCTCTGGTTTTACTGTCTTAGACATTATCTTAACTTAATTGATGAATGGTTATTTAATAATCAAAGAGTTTTATTTTGATCAGTAAATACATACATTTGATTGATTATTGTTTTTTATTGTTTTTTCATAGAAAGTCCAACTCTGCAGGTACAAAAACAGAGAGCTGGCGTAGCAGCAGGGCTGAATACATCTGACAGAATCAGACAAAAAGAGGAAGAGTTAAGATGAAGAAAAAAAGAAACAAAGCTATTCCTCTGATTATAATTACAGAAAAAAGTCCTTTTATTTATCTTTCTTAATCCCAGAGCTGTACACCGACAGAATAATGAACACAATTCAACATTATTCAATAGTTATTTATAAAACATAAAGAAACTCTGAATTTTATCCCTTTAAAATGACATTCAGACGACCACAGGAAGTGTTTAATATTTCCATGATTACAGATGAAGGGGTTCTGCTTTGAATGACTTATTTTTGCTTTAAAAAAAATAGTCCTGGACGTCTGTGGAAGCCCTTCTTCACCAGCTGAAGCAAAAACAAATCCCAGAGGAAAAAACATAAAACCTTCCAAATATTTCTGCAGTCATTGTGGAAAAAAGGCAAAAACCATCCAGGAAAAAAAAGGTTAAATAGAAAAAACAAGATATAGAATTTGTGTTCAATGATGGAAAAAGTCCCTAAATAAATGGGAAACGGCAAATTTAAAAAATATTTTCTAAAAGTCAGATTTTATAGCAATATTTATTACTAAATTGAAATAGAAAAGACAATGTTTAATTTTAAAATGGGTATATCCTTAGAATGAGTCATTTAATGTTGATATTATTTATCTGACTTGTTTCTTTTTTTGGTGGTGAAAAGGGGCCTCCAGGGTCTCAGGTTTACAGTTTCTGACTTTTCACACTTTCATCTATTGATATATATATATATATATATATATATATATATATATATATATATATATATATATATATATATATATATATATATATTCTTTTTTTTTTTTTTTTACCAGAAGCGAACTCATGCAAATATTAATTTCACAGATAAAAGAAGCAAACCTGAAAGATCATAAATGCTCAAACTGAACAATTTGGTCAAAGAATGCTTCAGCTGAATTAAATAACTGCAGCGGCCCCTGATGGCTAGGCTGAAGGTTGGATTTGAATTAACCCAGTGGCAGAGTCTAAAAACCTGCATTAAGATTTAAGGACAGGAACATTTCAGGTTCGGTTCAGGGTATTTTGGTGGGTTCTTCTGCAAAGATGGAAATAGTTTCCATTTGCATTGACTAGTTTTCTGTTGCATGCATGATGCCAGCAAAAGGTTTGACCTCCAGAATGATGCCAACAGCTGGAATGTGTTTAAAAGTTGTTTTTCTGCTTAGTTTTAAAGGGTCTGCTGCCAGATGATCACAATCATCTTCAAGGCTATAAATGCTGGAGCTGAACACAGATCACAGGAAGGTAAAATTAGATAAACAAGAGTTCCATTCTAGAACGAAGCCCATAAAAGTCCTTTTCTTTAAGACTATAGAAGATAAACAGTCACAATGGAAGCTTAAAATAGGTTGAATTTAACTCACTGATATTAAAAGTGTCTTCTGCTCACGCTCCTGTGCTTTTCACGTGCGCCTCCTTCCTCCAGGACACGCATAATGCATCATTTTGATTGGTAGAAACCTGAGTTACCCATCGTGTTTCTATTTACAGTGCTGCTGCTGCACAGACGGCTCGTACAGAAAAAAGGCTGAAATCCAGCTTTAAGGAAGTTGGAGGCCCCAAAACACATAACCAAATTATCTTCTCACTGTTGGAGGGAGGGGCTTCTTCCAACTGTTGTTAGACTCCTCTAACCAGTCCTGAATTATTTCCACTTAAACAGGGTGCCAGTTGGAAATCAGCGGTGCTCAGTTTGTATCCGTTCAGTCGGTCAGGAAATGATAAAATACTTGTTTTAATGAAACTATTCTGTCAACTGGGGGCAGCCATAATTAAAAAATAAGAGAAAAACCTGCAAACACGTGTCACTATGGAGATTCCCGCCTTTTCTGAAGAGCACGAGGGAGGGGAAGGCCGCAGTATCACAGAGCCAGATGGAAATGCAAGCAGGAATCTGAGTCAAACATATAGTCATTGGGTAAAACTGCTAATAGCAAAAAGCACAAACCTCTGGGCGTCTCACACATGAAGTTGTATGTGTCCATAATTAATTATTTGGGAGGTATAGTGATTTATACAAACCTACATGTGAAATCTAATGGGAGGGAATTTTAGTTTATTTGTCTATTTGCTCTGAGGCGGCTCCACTGCAAACTTAAAGTCCTGCAGCAGTGCGAGAAACAATGGGCTGAAGAGGACAAACATATATACAATTGGACAAATTCATTTTACATGACAGGAAGTCATTTTAATTCAAATTTCTGGAAAATTGCTTGAGTTCTATGTTGTGTGATAAAATCACACCCAGGCAAACCTTATGTTAGAAACTATAACATTTATAAACATGTTAGCTCAGTGGAGTGAAGTTTTTTGGTAAATTTTTGCAATGCTGAGAGAAAAAAAAAAAAAAGTTAATCTGGAATCAAATTCACTGAGAGTCCTTCATAAACATTAGCCTTCATCAGTTAATTTTGTTTAATTAGCTCTTTAAAAAAATGGCATGAACCAACAAACATTTAGTCCGTATTGCTGTTTTTTATGTGATATGAATAGAAAACTAAGAATGATTTTTTTTTTTTCAAAATCACTACCTGAAACTTTTTTGTTCTCAAAAGTTTAATGGAAAAACTGAGCACCGCTGACTGAATATCTCCCTAATTTGCATAAATTTAAATCCAGCCTCTGCTGGCCAGCCTAGACAGGAAAGAGTCATGCTCATGACATCAGGTCACAAATATGGGTTCAAGCTTTTTCAAAAATGGACCAAAAAAAAAAGAAAAAGAAAATCTAAAAAGGAAAAAAAAAAAAGGTTGTTATACCATTTGCGTTCACTAGGGGGCAGCAATGTGTAATTATAAAGGATAAACCTTCTGGTTCACTCTTTAGTGGGTTCCATGGATTCAAACTTTTACTGAGTTTTTCCCAGAGTTGATTTTAGGATAAATGTTAGAAACAAAAGGCTTTGATTGGTGAATGAAACTCTTTGCTCCGTTTCTGCTAAATGATGAAAAAGTGGTGAAAAAAAAGGTGTTTTCCTCATTAAACGTTCTGGCTCTAATGAGCTTTTTTTTCTTTCCCTTTTAAGTACAAGCAGCCGCGTCCTGAGCTGGATCCGGAACCGTGTCCGTCTCGTCGTCTCAGAGGCTACTTGAGGTTTAAATGCAGATTCTACAACTACACAGATAACAATGATCCTAGCTCTTTAAATGCATACCTTACATTACTTTGTTCCTATGATTTCCCCATCTGAGGATAATAAATACTTTCATTTTCCTGACACGGCCTCTGTGTGGCGAGGAAGCGCTGATTGTCCTAAGCAGAAATGCTGCAGGAGAACTTTGCAGCAGGAACTGGGTGGGCGGGTTTCAGCAGCAGCTCGGCCCGGCTGTCGCTTGGTGACGTTAAAGCTGAGACTAGACGGGAAGACAGCAGGAGGGAGCTGATGAGGAAACCCCGTTAAGGTGTGGGGCAGGGCGGTGAGGGGGGTGTGCTTCTATTTGGCGTTAGCGGCTCTCAGGTCTATCAGTAGTCTGTCCAACCGAACCGGACCGGAGTGGACTGGAGAGGCGGGGGGAGGTCCGGTGACGATCAGATCGAGGTCAGAGTTGAAAGGAGGTGGAAGAGGAGAAAGTCAAAGAGCAGTGGAGGCGATCTTCTTCATCCCCCTCCGCTGGGCCAGAGTGGAGCAGCCCACCGGCTCCAGAACCGGCGGGACGTTCCTGTTCAGGGCTGAGTAGGTGGCTGCCATCGCACCCTGCATGGGGGAGGGGAGACTTTATTCAACACATTGATTTTCTCAGTCTGCTACAGTTGCTTCCTATAAACCAGTTTTCTGTCGGCTTAAAGGAAAAGGTTCATCATGTTCATGCAGAAAATTATCCTGAATCTGACAACAAGCTCCATCTGTTCTGATGGAGGGAAGTACTGATCTATGGGTCGATGGACGGATGAGTCACAAGATGAACAGATGGAAAAATGGAGGTCAACTGGCAGACAGACACAGGGAAATGGATGGATCTGTGGTTCGGCTGACAGATAGACGGATGGCCGTTACCTTGACGAGGTGCGGCGCGTCCTGTCTGTTCAGGGTGTATTTAGGTAGCTGGTCTCTGTGCATCACCCAGGGATGTCTGAGGACCTGAGCTGCAGTCAGTCTCTGATGGGGATCTACATGCAGCATCTTAGACACAAGATCCTAACAGACAAAACAAAGCACCTTTTACTAAACACAGCTTTTTATTGATTACTTTAATCATCCATTATTCCTTAGAGTTCAGACCTTTGCTTCAGCAGAAACAGAGTTCCAGTATCCTCCAGTGAGCGAGAACTTCCCACTGCCGATACGAGCAAGGATCTCCTCTGGTGTGTCCTCCGGACCATTAGCAAAAGGAGTAAAACTGTGCAGGCACAAAAGAAAAAAATATAATTATATCCAGATCCAACATCTGGAATATTCAAGACGCTAAATATACATTTGTCTATATATATTTTCTATATATTTATAGAGTTTAATTATTAGCTTTGATAAACGCTGCTAACAATTACAGTTAATTAACAGCCTCGTGTATCAAAGTCTGGTAAATGTCAATGTTCATCAAATATACACAAAAAGTAGTGAGCAAAGCTCATTTAGGTTTTTTGTTCAGTAAAGCTGTCAACAATACAAAGCAGCTAAGTTGGTGGCATGTAGCCGCTAGCTCATGTAGCTAACCTTCGCCACAGGCGGGTCTGTAATTTCAAATGAATAAAAAATTCACAAAAATTTAATAAATAAAAAAACATTTAACATGAACTTAAGCAAAGCCATTTTCTAACTCTCTTTAAAGGTTACTATCAAAAGGAGTTTTTTGAGCAGCCAACAACGACAGTGTAGTCATGATTAGCATTAGCTTAGGACCCAAGTAAGGAGCTAACTCTATAGGCTGTAAAAACATACCAATGCTTTATAAATAAAGTTTGACTTTCATCAACAGTCAAAATGTGTTTTTCTTAATAAGATTACATCAATGTGAAGTTTAATAAATATAGATTAGGGTAATTTATATGTTGAAAACAAGCCTAATCCAAGCTAGCTGTTGAGGCTTAAAAATTGATCATGATCATTTCTTCCTTCAGCTGCTTATTAAGACAGTTTTTAGCCAAATGTTTGCAGGGAAATCGGATTTTTAAGTAAAAAATCTTAATTTTTGTTTTTATGTCCAACTGTGTAATCTTTGGAAAGGTACAAGGAACGGTTTGAAAATATATTGTTAAGGATCTCCTTTGATAGTTATGTTTCTGCTGTGTGTCCAATAAAAATGGTTCATCCATTGAGTTTAGAAGCTCATACATTTTTCAAAAAGATTTACAGGATAAGGGAATCTGGTTTAACATAACCAAAAGAAAAAAAAATCTTTAAAAATGTTCAAGTATGAGACTGAAAGTTGGTAAAAACGGAGCCAAAGAAAAAAACAACTTGAAAGGATTTTTATAACTAAACACCACTGATCAGGAACGCTTTATTAAAATATGAACAAACAAAAGACACACATTTAAGGAAATAAATTACAGAACTGCTGTTTGAGTGGTTTGATGAAATAAGTCTAATGTTAAACTTTGGGGAAAAGTAGCTAAGATACTGTAAAGCTGAAGTTGATCACTATGCATGTCATCTTTTCCAAAGATGTGTTTTTATTCAGTCCTGCTTGAGAAATTATCCTGGATACAAGGTAAAAAGGTGGGTTTTTATGTTGAAACAAGTTAATGAAAAGGACAGTAAACAAGATCTTAGAAGGTTTTTGTAAGATTGTTCCACATTTGTTTTTGTCTGCTTCTGTCTCCCTGAACCCCAGTCGGCCTGTGCAGATGGCCGCTCACACCCATCCTGGTTCTCCTGGAACCAGGTTTCTTTCTGCTACAAGGGAGTTTTTCCTTTCAACTGTAACCGTGTGCATGCTTGGAGTGAGGGATTGCCTTTGAGTCAATCAGTCGATGCAATTGGCTGGTTTTCCTCAGAATAGAAAACTTAAAAATTTGACTGTATGATCTGGTTGAATTGTCTCTATAAAGTGCCTTGAGATGAAATCTTTTGTGAATTGGTGCTATATAAATAAAGTGAATTGAATTTTTTGCCTTCACTCATTTGCATAAAAAAAGATGTTTTACTCCACTTTATGTTTTAGATATTAAAACATGAAGTTAAATCATTCCCAGAAACTGTACAGAAAATCCATGCATTGACATAACAGGGTTGCTTCTATGTTAGAAGACAAACACATGTTCTGATGTGTTAAACCTACCCTGTTAGCATTGTGTAGAGTAAGACTCCCAGACTCCAGATGTCGCAGGCTGCATCATAACCCTGCTTCTTCAGAACCTGCCACAAGAAAACAAAACTATACTTTCAGATGTTTTTAAAAAGTTGGATTTCATCGCCAGTTGTTCTCACTTAACAGCAAAGCAGCTGTTTCTAAATGGCTTTATTTCCTGCTAATAAAATAATAAATAAAGAATAAACAAAGTAAGGGTAAAAAAACCTCTGGAGCAACGAAGTTGGCGGTATAACACGGCGTCATGAGGAGGCCGTTTTCTGCTCTCAGTTGTTTGGCAAAACCAAAGTCGCAGATCCGGATGGACTCGGCGTTCCCGCTCTCGTCGACGTACAGGATGTTGCTGGGCTTCAAGTCCCTGTGCACCACCTGCAGACAGAGCAGAAGAAGAAAAATGGGGTTGGTCTCCTCGGACACTGGATCACAGAGCTTCTGCACTCTTCGTTCTGTAGATGCATCAGCACTGTGAGAAAACATAACAGCACAAACAGGAAACTCCGCTTAAAGCCAGTTTGTCTGCTGATAAAGGCTATGTAACGTGACAATCTCAGCGCGCCTTTATGATCAAACGCTATGATCGTTCATTAAAGACAACAGATAAAATAGCTATAAACATTTTTACAACATATTTACATTGAATTTAACGTCTTTTGTTTGTCGAACCAATAAATATGTACAGAATTTTTAAAGAGTACTGCCACCTCTTCAACTTTGTATGACTTTGTCCCGTTAAAACTACAACTCAAACAACAGGAACTGATTTAATTTAGATTCTAAACATTTAGAACCGATTTTATTTCATCTGTTCCAATCTATAATTGTATTGCTGGTTTGAAAAACATATTTTACCTAAATTACAGTGTAGTAATGCAACATATTGATAGTAGTTTTATATTAATATTCAAGAGCAAATGAATTAAGCGATGGGAGTTTTAAGACCAATACCAATTATTACATCCGGTAACCAATTCTTAATATGCTGCCATTTGTTAAGCAGATATTTCTTTGTCTTCCTCCATTTACATAACAAAAATGACACTGAGATAATAAATGTTACACGAGTCTCAATTTAAACAATAATAAACCTTTATTAAGAAATCAAAGAAAACATATCCACAATATAAAACTAAATGACAGGGGTGGGGGTTCTCTTTGTTGTTTTATCGTTTTTGCTTTTTTGTTTTTTTATGTTTAACTTTCATACATCAGGAATTTATTTCTCTGGTTTGTGTTATTTGGCAGCAGCCTATTTGTTTCCTATTTAAAGGAAAATTCAAAAAAAGTATAATAATATTAATAATACCATATTTTCTGGACTACAAGCCGCTACTTTTTCGCTTTGAACCATGCGGTTTATGAGAAGGTGCAACGTTTCTGTGAATTTTTCCTAACCGCCAGAGGGGGAAGTCAAAGTTGGGAATGAAAGAATAAGGTCTTAATTTTTATTTAGCACAAGAACTTGATAGCAGCAGGCACGACGGCGAACAAATGGTCTCAAATTCACATATTTTGATATTTATTTGCCTCATTAAAGCTGCTGAACCAATGAGGAGACTGGGCTGAACTCCTGCAGAGCTGAAATAAAGAGCATCTTTCAGTAGAAGCTCTTACTGCAGGGACCAGTAAGAGCTACAGTCTAGTATAGAATCCAATTTAAAATCCTTGTTCTTACTTTAGAGCCCTGCACTGTCAGTTCCTCTCTACATCTCTGGGCTGATAGAGCTCCACACTCCGTCCCGTAGTCTGAGGTCAAAGGGCCAAACATTGTTAGCAGCTCCAAACACTCGTTTTAAAGCCAGAGTGGATCGTTCATTCCAGGCAGCTGTGGCTGTGGAAGGCTTTGCATATTTTTCTCGCTGTGTGAATTCTGTTGATTCTTTTAAATAGCAACTGAAGACGCTGCTAGCAGGCTTTTGATTAGACGTGTGGTTAGTTACGGCTTTGCTGGAATGTTTCCATTTTTTTTTTAAATGTTGACATTGTGTTCTACACTGTTTTATTGTTTTACATTATTTCTGTGAAACACTGATTTTCATCAGTGAAAAGTGCTATACAAATAAGTTTTGGTTACTTACTAAGAAGTTAACGGGAGCTAGCATTCTTCTTCATCCCTACCACAGGGGATAGAGCTCCCCCTACAGGCTTGGTTGGATATCAGCGGCTTATAGCCCGGTGCAGCTTATATAGGCACGTTTCTGTTTTTAGGTGCACTCTAAAGTCTGAAAAATACCGTAATAACCTATGTGCTGTACTTTATGGTGACATTTGGATTTATAGAAATTAATCAAATATAAACTTTTAGGAAGTTAAAATTTGGAACATATAAAATATACGAATATATCACTGTAATCATTTTTTATTATATTAAATGTATTATAAAAATAACAGATTTAAATTATTCATGGATACATTTTGATATCTCAAACTGTATTCTGTCAAGGATAAAGTGTGAAATATGTTTTTTTTCCCCTTCTCTTCCCCAATGTGGCTTCAATCTTTCTACAGAGATAAAGGCAGCGCTATAGGTAAACGCCTGGGGAAGCCATAAGAACGCGCAAAAGGTAGCGCTATAGGTAACCGCCTGGGGAAGCCATAAGAACGCGCAAAAGGCAGCGCTATAGGTAACCGCCTGGGGAAGCCATAAGAACGCGCAAAAGGCAGCGCTATAGGTAACCGCCTGGGGAAGCCATAAGAACGCGCAAAAGGTAGCGCTATAGGTAACCGCCTGGGGAAGCCATAAGAACGCCATAAGAACGCGCAAAAGGCAGCGCTATAGGTAACCGTCTGGGCAAGCCTTAAGAACGCCATAAGAACGCGCAAAAGGCAGCGCTATAGGTAACCGCCTGGGGAAGCCATAAGAACGCGCAAAAGGCAGCGCTATAGGTAACCGCCTGGGGAAGCCATAAGAACGCGCAAAAGGCAGCGCTATAGGTAACCGCCTGGGGAAGCCATAAGAACGCGCAAAAGGCAGCGCTATAGGTAACCGTCTGGGGAAGCCTTAAGAACGCCATAAGAACGCGCAAAAGGCAGCGCTATAGGTAACCGCCTGGGGAAGCCATAAGAACGCGCAAAAGGCAGCGCTATAGGTAACCGCCTGGGGAAGCCATAAGAACGCGCAAAAGGTAGCGCTATAGGTAACCGCCTGGGGAAGCCATAAGAACGCCATAAGAACGCGCAAAAGGCAGCGCTATAGGTAACTGTCTGGGGAAGCCTTAAGAACGCCATAAGAACGCGCAAAAGGCAGCGCTATAGGTAACCGTCTGGGGAAACCTTAAGAACGTGCAAAAGGCAGCGCTATAGGTAACCACCTGGGGAAGCCATAAGAACGCCATAAGAAGCCATAAGAACGCACAAAAGGCAGCGCTATAGGTAACTGTCTGGGGAAGCCTTAAGAACGCCATAAGAACGCGCAAAAGGCAGCGCTATAGGTAACTGTCTGGGGAAGCCTTAAGAACGCCATAAGAACGCGCAAAAGGCAGCGCTATAGGTAACCGTCTGGGGAAGCCTTAAGAACGTGCAAAAGGCAGCGCTATAGGTAACCACCTGGGGAAGCCATAAGAACGCCATAAGAAGCCATAAGAACGCACAAAAGGCAGCGCTATAGGTAACCGCCTGGGGAAGCCATAAGAACGCCATAAGAAGCCATAAGAACGCACAAAAGGCAGCGCTATAGGTAACCGCCTGGGGAAGCCATAAGAACGCCATAAGAACGCACAAAAGGCAGCGCTATAGGTAACCGCCTGGGGAAGCCATAAGAACGCCATAAGAAGCCATAAGAACGCACAAAAGGCAGCGCTATAGGTAACCGCCTGGGGAAGCCATAAGAACGCCATAAGAACGCACAAAAGGCAGCGCTATAGGTAACCGCCTGGGGAAGCCATAAGAACGCCATAAGAAGCCATAAGAACGCCATAAGAAGCCATAAGAATGCGCCAAAGGCAGAGTTCTGTGGCACGCATGGTTTCAGTAAATCCGTTTCCACTCTCAGTCCCCCCCACCCAAATGTATGTCATGTATTGTGATGAAGTTGACAATAAAGTTAATTGATTGATTGCTTGATTGAAAATGACATGTATTCTTTTTTTTAAGGAATACATTCTTTATAGTTCATATTTGTAGCTTTGTCTTAACTAGTGCTGTAAGTTGTTGAATCTTTAAGAAAATAAAAGGTTATATAATCTGTGTAGCAATACTGTAAGTAATGATTTGATTTTTGAATTAGATGACAATTGTATTAATAATCGATTGATTACGATTAAATGTTTCATCCCTAAAATAAACTGAAGCTGGTTTTATCTTTTATGTTTCTTTGATGTTTGTGTTTGGTGTAGTTTTCAGGTCATTAATAACATGAAGAGATTATTAACTTCCTGGGTTATGTTGTTGTTGCTGTTATCTGCACCAGTATGAGGGAAGTTTACCCCGTTCACATGCAGATACTCCACGGTCTTGGTGATGGTGTAGAGCACGGCGCTGGCCTCTCGCTCGGAGAAAAACTTCTGCCGGAGGATTTTGTCCAGAAGCTCGCCTCCTTTCATCAGCTCCGTCACCAGGAACACCGAGCGGCCGTCGTCATACACCTACAGGAATCAGACAACCCACGCGCTCATCAGAAGGTCTTCAACAGATGAATCATTTCTCTAAAATCATTTACTCATTCATACAGCAAGGTTTGTAAAAAACTGTTTCCCTGAAAACACCAGATGTTTTGAATACAAAAAAAAACAACTTAAGTCATCAAGGTAAGAGGAGAAACCGATCTAAAACCTAAAAGGAAATTAAACTGTTATCAGCGGAAGAGAAGGAAGAGTGGGCAGCAGGCGGTATTTTTACCTCTAATCAGCAATGAGTCACAACTAAGACAGTAAAAAAACTAAATCGGAGCAGGAAGTTTTTGTTTTTCTAAGACGCACACGCTTGCTTCATATGCAGCATGACCCTGTGGTGTGAAGGTGACCCTTCATGACTCACTCTAATAAACCCTGCAGACATTCTGGAAAATTAGACTCAACTTTAGCATTAGGAGGCTAACTAGGAATCCCAAACTGTTCTAACCGATTAGATTAATTCACAAGGCAAGTTTGATCCTGGAAATCTGCTGTTCAGGCTTTAAGGATTTTTACCTGGAGGATAAGGGAAGACTGAATTAAAACCAAACTCAGGATGAAACGTTTAACACTCAGGGGGATTTACACTAAGATCAATTAAGGTTTTTACACTTTAAAAGGAAAAATAATGTATATGTATAAAGAGTTATCCATCCATACTTTTTTACCACTCCTCTCTTTTTAAATCCATTAATAAAATTTTCTCTTGCTCCACAGTTTATCACTCTGAGCCTTTTTCTCCATATCAACATAAGACGTCCCAGATCGGTCCAATCAGAGAAGAACCAGAACCTTTTATACCCATTCACAGCCATACATCCTATCAAACCAGTAAAAACTCAGCGTGACTCACGTCCTTCAGGGTGATGATGTTAGGATGCTGACCATATCTCAGTAGGATCTCCACCTCCTCTGTAGGGTCTCTCTTGGCCTTGTTGATGATCTGTAACAAAATCCTTTCTCAGTTTAACTTAATATTTCTACAATAAAACTGGAACAAAGAAGAATTGCTATGAAACAAACTGCACAGCTGCCTTGATAGAATGTCGGTTCAAATCCCAGGCAGAGATCTTGCTGTATATTGTTTATAGGTTCTCTCTATACATGCATGGGTTCTCACTGGGTACTCCTACTTCATCCATCATTCCAGAAACCTGTTAGTTGGATTGATCTGTTTAAATTTCCCTCAGGTTTCGGACGGCAGACCTGTCCAGGGTGAACCCTCTCTCTGTCCGGTCCACACCCCTTTAATGGATCTGGAGACCTTGGGGTCTTGAGAGAATATTGGGGCATGTGGAGGTTCCTCCATCTTTTCCTCAGTGTTAGTATTCATTTATTTATTTAAAGGTCTTCACACAATACATTTATAATTTCACTTTTGTGGTGTTTTTTTGGCATTAGGTTGTTTACTATTATGGGTGCACACATTTAGTAAACACCTTTTGTTTATTTGAATTAACTACTTTTCTTTGCCGAGTTTGAAGGACTGGCTGAGTGGAGAGGACTGGTTGAAAGGCAAACCAGGAAGTGGGACGTACCATCAGGCTGCTGGAAGCAGGGGACTGGTTTTAGAGTATGCTTCTCTCTCTCCACTTATGGCATAACTGTTAAAACATTTTTGGTTTTACGTTGTTTTCTTTTGATAGTTGTGTTGTAGTCAAAAGGTGTTGGTTTGAATTAGTTATTTATGTTTATGCATTGTTTGTCTTTGTCTCATCTCCCACCCCCTCCTCGTTTGGGTAGGCTAGCCTTTATGTATAAATTCCCCTGTGTGGTCATTGTGTGAGTTCAGTTTTTTTGGTTTGTTATCCTGAGTTAGGTATGCCTTATTTGATTTTCTTTTGCACACATTTTGGTATATTTTTTTAGATTTGATGTAAGTCCTTTTGTGAAGAATTTTTTGGAAATAAATAGAAAATACTTTTTTATATGCCTTTGTCCTTGTGCATTACTGGACGGACCACCACAGGGCAAGACTTTCATCCAGATTCTGGACCCAAACTCGTTTGCTTGGAGCACATGTTGGACCCCTAGTGTTGAAAAGCAGGTGTTTGTGTTTGGTGTTGGTGTTTGGTGGTGGAGTTACCTTCACAGCGTACTCCATGCCCGTCACTTTGTTGATGCAGCGCTTGCAGATGGAGTAGGAGCCCACGCCAATGTCCTCTTTAATGTCATAGGTGTCTGAGTACTGGGATGTACTTCTGTGAAGCTGCTACGAAAAAACAACCAAACATGCAAATTACAAAAAGATAAGGAATACATCACTTTATACATCTGCCGATTGTGGGAAGGAAAATGTAATATGTGAAAAGTTTTAGGAATGTTTGCACCAACTTAAAAAGGTTAATATTCCCTACAGAGAGGCGAGCGCCTCATCTTTATGCTGCAGATTTAGGTTAAATTCCAAATAGGGTTTCTGTCCATTTGTCAACCGAAGCAGGAAAATACCATAGACTGAATCACATCTGAACCAGAGTAGATGTTAAAGTTCTCCCACAGCTCTTTCAAGGGATCCATGATAAGTTGTAGCAGCAGAATTTATTAGTAAAATGTTTATTTTCTTGTCACCAGACACGTAGCTGTGGGGATACAGAGGCCATGCAGTTTGCCAGGGAGGGGTTAGACTCGGCTTTCTTTGCCATTGGGAGGGAGCCAAATGGCGATTGTTAGCAGGTCGATCATTGGTTGAAAAACATGGATAATGCGCTACTTTGAATGAGAAAGTGGCTCTACAGTTACTAACTGAGGTCGTTTACAATTAGCATCAGGATAAAAACATTTTCTTAGAAATATTAAAAGGATGAGTAACAACAACTGAAATATGCTTCACTATCACTTTAAAGAGTCGTCCATTATCTTCCGATTTCATTTTGATTTCCCATTAGCTACTGCTAGTGCGTAAGCGCTAGCTAATATAGTAAATGTCAGGTTGCAAGCCGATGACATTTGTTTGTTTCTACAAATATCTCACGTATAATTGCTCACAAAAACTTTGACACAGCGATGCAGTTCCGCATTGTTTACATTTGCACAAAACAATACGATAAAAACAGCTCTGCTAATGTTAGCCTTCCTGTGTTTCACCTACATCAGTTTGTTGTAGGTGAACAAATGGCGACTTTTATGAGTAAAAAAATATTACAAAGGAAATATTATTTCTTATTATCTCAATAACTGCTATTTTTAACTTAATAGGAAAATTAAAACCTGTTTTAACTAGCCGTGTATCCCTTTAAAGCACTAAATGGGAATTAGGCCAGAATACTTTTCTAAGTCTGAACCAATCAGACCCATCAGGCTTTCAGAGTCCTGCTAACCCAGTGTTTCCAGAACCAGAACTAAACAAGCAGAGATAGGATCTAGTTTCTAAAACCCCAGACAGGCTGTTTCCAGGATCCTTTGATCAAAGAACTGAACTTCAGAGCTGTTTGAAATATTTATCATACCTCCATTATACGTGATTAAACATCATTTCCTTTTATGCTTTGTTCCTTTCTTTCCATCCTCCCTTTGATGTCCTGTACAGCACTATGGACCGCCTAATGTAGGACGGATGCTACAGAAAACAAATCTCCTTGCCAGTGGCGGCTTGCCCATAGGGGGCGCTCGGGCACAGCCTTCACTAGACGTGAAGGGGAAAAGTCATAATATACACAGATTTTAACAAATGTTATTTTTACCTAATAGAATGTGGCTACATGTAATATGAATTATTAAAACAGCACTTCTACCAATTGACTGTCATTCAACAGTGCATTTCCACCAACAGAACGTTTTAGTTCGCTTCTTGGGCGCTCATTCAAAGCCCTGCTGAATTGTAGCGTAATAACCAATCGTATAATGTTGCTAGGTAAAATTAATAAATATTTGGACAATCAGCATTGCCAAAATGAATGGCTTCGGGGCTCCTGGAATTAGTAGTATTATTAGTATATGTTTGATCGGTTTTCGGTAAACGTCTATTTATAATTTATATCCCCCCCCTGGAGAAAACTCCACCAGCCGCCACTGCTCTTTGCCTTTTAGAGTTTAACCCTACAAGATGAATGATTTCTGGGTAACAATCTGCCCTCTCCCTCTGCTGCTTTCATCTACCAAGGCTGGTAAAGTTTCTAACGTAGTTCAGCCTCCCTCTGGTGTAATCTCTGCCTGCTGAGGTTTGACTCAGATGATCTGATTAATTCTGCCTCTGAACCGAGCGGCAGAGCGTGTGTACACACCTGAACCATAGTATTAGGCAGCGGCTGCGTCTCTTCCTCTGTTATGGCCACAAAGCTGAACCCTCTGAAGAGCTGATGGGCGTTGGCGCTGGGAGGGACGCCTGGCGAGTCTGAGGCAGACATAGGAAAAGTCAGCACTCAATGGAAAAAGGTTTCACAGAGAAAGTGGCTCAGCTCTCATCAGAGGAGGGAAAGCGCGTACCTCGGGGTGTTTTAGCTGTGAACTCGGGATCAAAATAGAAAGTGTCGTCAGGTCGTCCTGCAGCTGGTTTGAAAGGAGGTGCTATCTCTCTGCGGAACAGTTTCTTCAGGGAGGAGAGACATTGGGAAACTTCAGCCAGAACCACAAAAAGACCTTAGAGATGTTTGCTGTCGGTGCTGGTTTCTACAGAAACTCACATTCCAGTCGATTCTGGCGAAGAACGAATGCCTCTTGATCTCCTCCACACCGTCTGGTCCTGCGCCTGCAAAAAAAGAGTTCCAGGGTTTTATGTTTCAGGTCATAATCAAACTGATCGCATCCTTTGCAGATTATAAAATGATTTTAATCTAACCTGGAAACAGACACACAAATAATTTAATTAACCGGAGATTAAGCCAAAACAGTGGAACAATGAAAGTCCATCAAACCCTGAGGGACTCCTTCAGCAGCAATAACTAATTAGTTTTATCTTGGATCCTGCTGCAGGTTACGTAGTTCTGCAGACTTTGGTTTCAACCACAATATTTGGATCAGATTGGTGGAGTTCAACTAGGCCAACAACACCTGTAGATCTCAGTTTATCAAAGGAATACTTTGAAAGACAGTACTGGAAGGTGACCAGGCTCTTTTGGGGGTATAACTAGCCCATACCATAAAACCTCCACCCCATGCTCACCTATTTGTACAGCCAGACATTTTAACTGTTCTAAAGTCCTATGCTTATTTCAGCAGAATTGTAATAATACCATCATATTTATGGAGATGGTGAGCTTTTTCCTTCCACATCAGGCTAGTTCAATTTCTTGCTAGGTCTTCTGCCATGACCTTTAACCTTCTAGAGCTTGGTTTTGTCCATCTCTTTGGATCTGCTGGGTTTTCCACTGGCCGTTCTTCCTTTCAAATGTGATGTGAATTTTAAAACGTCGGAAAAAAGAAAATGCAAATTAGACGTGTTTCCATTGGAGCGAATTAATGAGGCGATGCAAAGCATAATGTCATCATAGATCATACGCTTGGCTGTGATAAACAGGAAGTAGAGTAAGCAAGCTAGGGCGGACCACAGACCAGAAGTTGTAGTGGTAAATTACACTTTATAATGTTAGCGAGTATAAGCCATAATTCATAGAGAGAAGGAGAAGTGTGATTCTAATCCTACATACGGTGTCCCTATAGGATAATGGTCTTCAGATAGTTTGGATGTGGCCTTATAACTTTCTACATATTGATGAGCGAGAGTTGTTGTTTTTTTTAAACACACCTGCGTGCTGCAGGCCAACAAACTCCAGCTCCTATAAAACGGGCTCCAACTAATCAGCTATTTAGAAAAGTGATTATTAACTATATTCTATTTTTTCACCTAAACATAAGCAGTAAAGCTGACCACACTGCAAAACATTGAAATCTAAATAAGTCATGTTTTCTTAAAATAAGTGCATTTTTTCTTGAATTAAGGATGTAAGTGAGACACTTTGTCAATGGAAGAAGATAATTTACATTTAAAATAAGAAAAAATAATTGTATTGTTTTATATCAAGTGCATATTATCTAATTATCTTATTTTAGGAGTAAAAATACTTATTCCATTGGCACATCATCTTATTTACCTCCTCAAATTAAGGTTAAATACACTAAATTTAAGACATTTAACCTATTCCTAGGTTTTTGCAGTACATAGTTTTCCCACACAGAACCTCCAGCTCAGCTTCAGGTGTGTTTAATAAAATCTTAACATCTGGGAGGCTTTGAAGTGAGGATTTTTTTCATCCTCTATGCTCTGGTAGCAGTTTCATGATAGCGTGTTTGGCCGTTTTGTTCCTGCCCGTCCCGCTCCCCTCAGCATGCTTCATGCAAAAATGTCTTACCCAGTCTGTTTGCAGGGTTGCGTTTGAACAGGTTCCTGAGGAGACTCTGAGCTTCCGAGCTGAGGAACTGTGGCATTCCCAGCTTAGCTCTGCGAAGGGAAACAGGATCAAAGAGGGAAACGTATTGAATGTCCACAGTGAAGCATGAGAAAGCCTAGACTATAATCTGGGGCTGTTGCACAGGAAGTAGCGTCAGCACTCTGCAGAGTCTGCTCAGCGTTTTCCTGCACAGAGACTGAAAGAGAGTCGGAGGAAGCAGTGGAGGTTAATGTTTCCTTTCAAAGGGTTTTTGTTCACAGACTCAAACATGAACACGTTCGCTCTTTCACTTCAGCTTCTACTGCTTCACTCTTCAGTCTGTCCACTGATAAACACCCCCATCTCCATCTCTGATGCACCCTGAGCTGTAATAAAAGCCGTTAGATAGCAAAGTAGATAGATAGCAAAGTGACTTACTTGAGGATCATCGTCATCGTCTCCTTCCGGTCTTTGCCTTGGAAAGGCAGCGTTCCGGTCAGCATCTCAAACTGAGAAAACAAACAGAAACAGCATTCCCATCAGAGTTATCGGGTGTTTCACTGTCATTAAATCTATTTTTAACTCACCCTAATCTCTAAATTTGGTGAGGAAGTCCAGAGAAGAAAAAAATCAAGCATTATCATATATATTATATTATTATGGAAAGTAAACACAGGCTTTATCATCCAAACATTGTTTATTTGGATTTCTAAGAAGTTTTAACAGACAAAAAGTTGTAGAGAACAAACTTTTGGTTAGGTTTGGTTCTATGAGGAAAAGAAAGTTCTCCTTCTTTCAGTTCTATCATGACATGAAGAGGACTTTGATTAGGCTACTGAGCTGATCTGAGCTTGGCATGGATATACAGAAGAGATCATGGTTGACCTGCTGGCTGGATGGTCTAATCAGGCCCAGAGGATTATACCTCCACCGCTGTGTTTCAGTATCATGTCTAAGTTTGGTCTCATCTATTAAGAGGAGACTATGATTCATTTAGACCAGGGGTAAAAAAATCAGTGGGATCCGAATAAAGAAATCAACAACCAGTAAAGGTCAAGAGACATTTTTAATAATAAACAGAATTTAATACTGAAATAAAGTGTTTTATGCATCCATGTTATACATTGACTTAGAAAAAAAATAAATAAATATAGATATATAAAAAAAACTTTTTTTTTCCATTTTAAAATCTAATGTGTTTTTTAAGTAGAGAACAACAATCGTTCAGTTTGGTATGTAGACAATTTCCTGATTCATATATTTCATAAAATACCTGAACAGACCGTGTATTTTTTCCTGTCTTAATGTTGGCAGTGGGCTTTATGCTGCCCTGCAAGGCTTTAAACCTGGTTTGAATGGAGACAAAGTCATTCTAAAGCACATATCAAGGAGCTCATTTTGATCCTGCATCCATGTTTATTTTTGATTCTGTTCATGGTGGAGAATCCTGCTTCACAGCAGCAGGTTGAGCCAAACATCCTCTAAATGTGCAGGATCATCTTTGAGCACCATTTCACCTTTCTGTCACCAATTCACTACAGTTCTTCCAGCAGTCCACACTTTCTCTGCTCTCTTTTTCTCATCATCTTCTCCTTCTTTGCCATCGCCCGGCTTGCCACAGGTTTGCCTGCTGTGTCTAAAAGTAGCAGCAGCAGCAACCCAGACTGACAGCAGCTCATTGGATCATTCCTATAATGTGCAGCCTGGCGCCGGACGCTCTTGAGGGCTTTACCGTATTAACACGAGAAATGGCGCAAGTGGAATTAGACACTGTCGCAGACAACATGTGGTAAATTATTCATGTTTTTTATGGGTCCAGATTAGCCAGCAGGTGGTTCTGGATCCAGACCGCGGTCCGCTAATCCGTGAGCTCTGCTTTAGACGCACCTTTGAAAACACTGGTTGTGTTCTTGTGAGTTCCTTTTTTAAATAAACCAAAGAAACCAAAACCTGTGTTTTTCCTGCCATGACCTTTAACCTCTGAGGCCTGCAGAACCCCTGCTTTGGACCCCCATCATTTCTTCATGCTTGACCTTGGGATACATTTTTATGGACGTCCTGGTAGATTTCCCAGAAGGATTTTTTAATTTCAATTGAATATTTCTATCTGCTGAACGACAGACTACGGGTTGCTTCCTAATGTCATCCCCTCACATGCTGCTGGGGAAGGAGAACAGTTTCTCTAATGTTGATGGTGGTCTTTCTATCTCAGCTCTATGTTAACACAAACACCTGCTCTCTAATCCAGACATTTCTTAATTAGCTGCATTTTTTCCCTCTTAAATACCATGAAAGCAGCAAGCAGTTAATACGTTGCTATAGGGTTCATCTTTATAAGACAAATAACAATAATGTAGAATCATTAGTGCTTTCTTATTATTTTTATGTTAATTTGGGTTTTATCAAAACATTTTTACTCTTAAACATAAGCCCCACAAAAGGAAAGAGGGTTTACTTTTTATGCTTAAAAATTAAGGAGAACATATAATATTTTTTTAAAAGTAGTCAAAAAGGTCAACTATAAAAAAACTTTACAAGGTTGAAAAGAATCATTCTCTAAACTCATTGTTTATTTTTCTGTTTAACAAAAGGAAAGCAGATTCAGATCTAATTCTAAGGTCAGCTCACTGTGCTTCATAGTGCTCTCACCATGAGAACGCCGTACGACCACCAGTCGGCGCTGTGCGTGTGTCCTCGCCGGTTCACCACCTCAGGGGCCATGTACTCCACCGTCCCACAGAAGGAGTAGGCTTTGTTCTCGTGGTCTATCGACTCCTTGCTGAGGCCGAAGTCTAAACAAGCAGAGGAAAAAATAAATAAGAATCAACTAACAACTTTGACAGAGAACCGACTGGAGAGCGGGAACCCTGATGATGATGATAAACATGTAAGCAGGAGCTGGAATGAGCAGCAGGACAACAAACATGGAGTCAAACACAGAGGAAGGAGTGAAACATTACAGACCTGTCAGCTTGATGTGTCCGGCCTCATCCAGCAGGATGCTGAAAACAACAGAGACAGTTTGAGATGCTTTCATCTGTAGCTAAATGAAAAGATCAGCTCTGGCTCCTCCTCTCCGACAGCTCAGCTCAGAAAAACTTTAAAATTCCTTCTGAGAACAGATCAATATGAAAACATCAGGGCTGATCTGGATGCTTCCTCAGCTGGATTATAAAGATTAACCCAACCCGTTTCTTTGCTAATCATAAATATTTAAGGTAATAAGGATTTTTATTTAACCAGCAAATCCCTGGTGCTTCACGATGTGAATCATCTCAAACAGGAATCTGCTGCTAAATACAGCAATGAGGACCTCTGTTCATCTCCAGCTGCAGCGGCTCTGATGTTGTGTCCATCTGGAGATGGATGCTGATGGATCTCTATCCAGAAGCGTGTCCCCCCCCCACCCCCCACCCCCACCCCCACAGACACCATCAGGATGTAGAGGTGTTTCAGGGGCAGTAAGGGTTAATAGGAGGGAAGACCTCCTCGACTGACTAGCTGATTACTCATCCCTCCAACCTCACAGGAAACCTTTTTATTTTTAACGGCTTGTCATCATGATCTCATTCTTTTGCTCATGATTCCAGGGTTTGATCACAGATGAGCCAACTCAGCTCCTCCTCCACCATAACAGCTAACAAAGCTCCAATACATTTATGCATCTCCTGCTACCTCCTACCGTCACCCATCAAACCCAGTCATCTGAACTTGTGAGTTAACACAGTTTCTATCAGACCACAGAAATTCAGATGATTATTTACAACAATTGAAAAACGCAGATAAAGGCAGACCAATGAGAGAGCTCTAAAGGTTCATTTAAGGTCATTCAGTGCAGTTTTTGTTTCTTCAAATTATTGCAGTGCATATGAAAGATAAAAGAAGCCTCTGAGGGAAACTAAAGTGTTTGTATGTTAGACTACTTTTCTAACATACAAACCAAATAAGAACAAAAGGTTACATTTTTTGGGTTGTGGTGTGATAATTTGGTTTAAGTAGTGCCAGAGATGGGACTACTACTACTTCGTTACTGTACTCAAGTAGATTTTTCTGATATTTTTACTTTACTACTTATTTTCATGGCGACTTTTTACTTCTACTCCTTACATTTTTACACAAATATCTGTACTTTCTACTCCTTACATTTTTAAAAATTGGCTCGTTACTTTAGTTTTGAATCATTTCAATGGAGTTACCGTTCTTATTTTTCACGTCATCAATACCAAATTCAATCTAATGGGATGGGAATCTACATTGCATTTGACGCACCACTACAAGATGAATCGACAGATTCGGCGGTATTCATTGGCGGCAAATCATTGCAGCTTGGTGGCGGTGGCGTTAGCATAGTAGCATGGACGACGAGATGATTGAAAATGAACACAACGGAGATCTAGTCCTATTGGCAGACATCCATTTAAAATGTAGGCAACGGCATGAAAAAAGTGGTTTCTACTTTTACTTTTATACTTTAAGTAAATTTACAAGCCTGTACTTTGTTACTTTTACTTGAGTAAAGAAGTTTAATCAGTACTTCCACTTTTACCAGAGTATTTTTTAACACAAGTATCTGTACTTTTACTCAAGTACGGAAAGTGAGTACTTTTGCCATCTCTGGGTAGTGCTAATGGTCGGGTTTAAGGCTGATCCATAGAAAACCATGGAAAATTAATGGAAGTCAATGTAAAGATGAATGTGTGAGTTCACATACTTCTCAGGCTTCAGGTCTCTGTAAATAATGCCGAGGCCGTGAAGGTGATCCAGGGCCAGAGCGAGCTCTGCTAGGTAGAACTTCACATCTTCCTCTGTGAACATCACCTGCAGGACAAACCAGGTTAGACATCAGATCCTGTAAACTGGTTCCAGAGCTTTTTGAGGATGATAAATGTAATTTAAACTTCAAACAATAAGGCAAATAAGGGAAATCCATCAATCTGATGCTTCTCTGTCCAAAAAGGGACGGAAGAGAAACACTTTTCTCCAAAAAATAAATAAAAAACCATGTTTAAAAATTGCATGGCGTCCGTTTATAACATTATTTTACACATATCCTAGAATGGTACTGTTAAAGTGGCTGCAGGTCGGAGTAGCTCTGCTAGCTTCATTCTGATATTCTTCTTTAAAGAATTTCTCTATTAATTTACCTTTGAATCAATAAAGTGTTTTTTAATTGAATTAAATTTAATGAGAACAAAAATGTGAAGGCACTTCTCCACATGCTAAAAAAAAGATTTAAGAGGAAAAAAAATGGCTGCTAGGTCAGATAGCACTCTGCCAGAACGGAGAGGCAACTGATGCTGCCCGTCCGTAAAGTCCATCTTCTCAGGAAGGAAAGTCCATGATGATTCTGCTAAAAGTCAGAGCATAAAGCTCTGAGAAAGTATAGAAAACCCAAGAGCTCCATCTGTGACTCTGCAGGGCTCAGTTAGCAGGCTCAAGGTTAAAGGTCACCATGGGAGCTTTAGGGGAAGACTGAAGACGTATCGAGGATTGGAGGAGCTGAAGGTGGAAACGAAGATAATTTACAGCAGCATGTCTGAAGGAAACTAAACACCTCACACTGACTAACACACTGAGGTGGATGGGTGATGCTTTGCATTTACTGGGTGGAGCATGATCTCCTCTGGAAACCGGTGTAATTTGGAGTCAAATGTTAATTTAAACCAAACTGGTTCACCAGCAGAACTATGATCCCAAAAACAGCCGCTAATCTAAAAGAATGAAGGTCCTGAAGTGGTCTAGTCAAAGTCCAGACCTCTGGGGACGAAGCCTCAAGCTGTGCCAAAAGGAGGGAGCAGAAAAAAAGATGGAGAGCGGGCGAGAATAAAGTCAGACAGAAAACTATAACTATTGGAGGAACTAAAAGCAGCTGGGGTGTGCTTAGTTTTCACAGACAGCTTTTAATAGCTAGCATTAAATAAAAAAAAATGAATCTGGGGAGATGCTTCTGTGACCTGACTCCACACTGAACGTTTACCTCCTTGGAGAGGCGAGTGAAGAGGTCTCCTCCTCTGAGGAAATCCAGGATGAGGTACAGCTTCCCTTCTGTCTGAAATGCTGCAGAGGACAAACATCAGAGATGTAAAGGCTTCCCTGATTGGCTGATAGACCAATGACAGAGCTCTCCTACTGGCTGACTCACCATAATGCAGCTTGACGATGAAGGGGTGGTTGACCTCCACCAGGATGTCCCTCTCCATCTTCGTTCTGACCCGGTCACGAACTGGAAAACATAAAAATCCTCAGATAAAGCAGAGTTAAAGCCAAGGCATACAGCAGCTCTCCCTATTTGGCTGTCGTTTGGCAGACGGGGTTATAGGATGGGCCGCTGAAGAACGAGCAGAGCAAAACTAAAACAAACAAGAGAGCATGAATCAGGCTGGATGGAGCTGCTGCAGCTCCACCAGCAGATGGTGTTTGGTTGGAGCAGAACCTCCTTTCAGGGATTTATTTCTCTCTTCTCTCTGCACACCTCCCTTGCTCTTTTTATCCATCTCTTGTTAAAGTGTGAACTTCCATTTTTGGAGATGACGTCTGAGAATCCACAGAAATAAACATATTTCTGAAAGCAAAAAGGCTCGTTTCACTGGGAACATTTTAATCAGCTTTATTGGAGCCGGATAATTCATAACATGGAAACACCCAACAGACCAAACCAACAGTTCCTAAAGTCATAGGGAAATTATATTTTAATGTCAAATCATTCTGGCTTAAACATGTATAAAAATGTACTCTTTATCAGACTATATTGTCTTAAAGGTTAGAAAATTTCTATTTAAAAAAAAAAATCCTGTCTTTAAAACTGTGGGTTTTTTTTGTTATCTCATGCAGGCCAGTTAGTTATATGTCAGCTTGTACACCTAAATTCGGCCAAACCCCGTCAGATGGCGTTCCCCCTGCTTAACATGGGGTGAACGCCATCTGATGCGGTGTAAATATCATCACACTGCATTACCTCTACTCATGGGTGTGAAGTTTTTTAACAGGGCATTCAGATCTGGTGAGTGTATGAAATTAATAACTGGGGATATCTGAAATCCTCTGTGTCTGGGTTGTTATAGATACTGCAACGTCAGTCCGTCCCGATTTCTCCCTTTCTTCATATAGGCTATCATTTGATCGTTCACGCTCTCCATAGTTCTCCTGTGACGCGAGCACAGGGCGACTGTTACGCGCCTTTAGCGAGCATGCGCGTTTCCTGACGCTTGCGCGGTGAACCGTGCCGCCTGCGCTGTGCGGAGATGCAGGGGAAACCGTATGTGATGGGGAAACGCAGCTCTACGTAACACCGGTATTTCCATCAGGAAAACATTGTTTTGCTGCAGGAGTCCTCCTCACTCTCCATCTCTCTGTGTGTGCTGTACGTTAACACCCACCAGCAGAAACACCCACCTACCCAACTGACAGACGGAATCTCACTATACATCAGCCATTCTCATCCTCCTATCTCTCACGGCAAGGCGCGCACGACTCCTATCATGAAAAAAGGTTCATTGTGCGACCTGAGTAACGCGCAGTAACGGGGTTTCTGCAATGGTAACTGCATTATAGTTACAGTCAAAGTAATTAGTTAGATTACTCATTGGTAAAAAAAGGTAACGCCGTTACTCCCATCACTGCTTGTGACAGATCATGTACACCAGGATGCAGTTTTTTTGTAGATTTTAAAAAGGGAGCAGAAAGAAGGAGATTCTGGATGGTTAACCTTTCAGCGTGGCTTTCTTCAGGACCTTCATGGCATAAAGCTGACCTGCGTCCGGTCCTGTGACCTTCCTCACCAAAAACACCTGCAGACAGAGCAAAAAAGAGCTGAATCCATCCAGAAAGACAAGGACAAAAGGGGTCTTGAAGAGCCTCTCACACACAGGAGTGAGATGCTGAGTGAAGATAAAGCCCATATCAACGAACATCATGCTGCCTGAACTGACTCACCTTCCCAAAGGAACCCTGACCCAGGACTTTCCGGAGCTCAAACTGCCGCGGGTCGGCCTTCTCAGAGCCCTCCTTCACATGATGAGTGATGCTGATCTCTTTGATGGGAACGTCATCCTGCAACGAAAACACACCGCGGCTCATCAACACCTGAACATCTGAGATTTACTCCCATCCACAGGCTGAAGATCAACAAGTAACTCAAACATTTCAGGTTGGATTTAGGGAAACCTACCGACTCAGAGAGATATTAGTTATTCCCATATTATTATATTCCCAAACATTGAATACTTACTTTTTCTTAGAAAGCCACCAAAAAATCTGTGATGCTTCAAATCAATTCAGACTCAAGTTTGTCCGAGATGGAGAAAAATTTTTAATATTTGTGGATGAATATTTGTGGTAAAACAGTTTGTTGCTCCATGTCTAATATAAATATGGCTGTAAAGACCAATATTATACTGATATCCCTTTCTTTCTCTATGCTGGAGAATCAATCCTACCTCTGACATTTTTCTCTGTTTCATCTCTATTATACAGCAGATACCAACATTTTTTTAAAACAGCATGGAGATGTTAGAGCCAATACATCATGTCTTACGATACATCTCTCTCAAGTCAAGATTTCTGAATTCAAATATGTTTTGCAGTCTATGTAGATACTTTTTGGTCACCTTCACTACAAAAAAAAAAAAATCCAATTAGAAAGAAATGTATTTCTACCTGAATTGAGAAGGTAATTAAAAAAGTTTGCTAGTGAAATAACATGACCTATGTTTAATTAAAAAAAAACCCACACATAATCTGATTTTGAGTGCATCATATCCAATTTTCTAACTTTAAGGGCAAAAATAGTAATTTCCCTGGCAGATCATCTTATTTACCTGCTCAAATTAAGGGAAAATACACTTATTTGAAGATATTTTACTTGTTTTAGATTAGTAGAGAAGCAAGTTACTGAAATCGATAAACTTTCTATATTATTTAGATTTATTGAGTATGATTTTATTTTTTGTCTTTTTGCCTCCTTACATCAAAGTATTTATAATTCTCCATCATCCATCCCTTTTTCAGCTACTGACTTGTTCCTTTCCTTCGTCCCTTTCTCTTATGTAATTCTAATTATTTGGTTTTTACCTAGAAAAAATCTTGTATGTGCAGGTGAAAGATAATTGTTCTTGTTTTAAGAGTTAATTTTTTATTCTAAATGAAGAATTTTACACTATAATCTTAATTCAGATAATTTTACCTGTTTTTAGCACCCTTTCACTTAGATTTAGTGTTTTAATCTTGTTTTCAGACAATTTTAAATTTTTGCGTCTCTTTGAGCTTTCCTTTGATTTTTTAAACATTAACACCTGAACAATATCAATATTACTGCTGATCATTCTTATGAGGATAGTTTAAATATTTTTTCAGCATTCAAACCAAATTCATTTAACCAATAAATGAATTTGCAGAGAGGGCAAACCAGATTTATTTCTAATTAAATTCAGTCCAAATCCATATTTTAAATTCATTCCAGATACAAATTCATGGCATCTATAGTTAGAATATAACCTTGTTTAATAAACAGAATGTATTTAATTTATATAAGTTTAGAGTCCCATCTGCAGGGAGAAATTGTAAGAAATCAGCAGTAGAAATAAAAAAACAGGGCGGTCAAACACATTCAGTCACATATTTCCCTTTCAGAAGCTGATCTGGTTTTAAACGTTACTACTGATCACTCCACCCCCAGCTGACACCTTATAATTAATCTGAGCTCCTACTCAGAATAATTTATTCATAGTTGGCAAAAACTCGCTAACGCATTAGATTGGTGTTTTGACATTTTTCTTTCAGGGTTACAAAAATGGTGAGAAAAAAGATGATTTGGTTGTTTTTAATCTAGACTTCAGGCTGATGGGAAACATGAAGGCAATGATGTCTTTATGTTTCCTCATCCTGTCTGCCCGCCTCTGAGTGCTTTACATCAAAGTCAATTGTTCATGCTGCTGTGAGCGCTCTGGTCTGAAACAACAACACAAAAGGAGATGCACCGATTGGACAGCTTTGGACCCATATAGGTTATCACAAATCTGAATATATTGCTGATAACAGACATGTGCATATATAACACATTTACCACTCAATTTAATACACCCAGATGTACAATAGAATAGAATAGAATAGAATAGAATAGAATAGAATAGAATAGAGAGCCTGGTTCTGCTGGAGGTTTCTTCCTGTTCAAAGGGAGTTTTTCCTCTCCACTGTCGCTACAGGCATGCTTAGTGTGGGGATTGTATTTGAGTCAATGAGTCGATGCAATCAACTGGTTTTCCTTAGACAGAAATCTTGGAACCACTCTGACTGGATGATCTGGTTGAAATGTAAAGCGCCTTGAGATGACATGTGATGTGAATTGGTGCTATAGAAATAAACTGAATTGAATTAATTAGAATAGAAATATCCTTTATGGTCCTACAGTTTGACAATTCAGTTGTGCTAGCTGCTAAACAAAAGCCAAACGGAAGGAAGGTGGTTCACACACCACTATAAGCTATCAAAACTATCGAAATCTAAAGTATTAAAAAAAAACAGTAAATCAGAAAATGGGGCAGCCTGAATATTAAAAGAAAAATCCAATGTACGATTTAGTCAGTTGACTGGAACCTGCAGGTTTTTAAGGCTGATGCAGATTATTTTGATGTTCTTTGGTCTGTGTTGCAGATTCCTTAGGCAGATATTACTTTCTCTTCCTCCACTTACATGATAAGAATGACAAAATGGTACCAATGTTACGCAAGTATTAATTTAATGATAATAAAAAAGAAACAATCATAAAAATAAAAAAACTCAAACAAAAATGAGCAAATGAAGAGATCTAGAATGCCTGCAGCTCATATGATCTCATGATGTGGCTGTAGAATGCAACTAAGAAACATGCATGCATCGGCTGACTTCGATAAAACAAAAACATTTAAAAATGCTTATTATATCGGTTTATTCCTCCTGGAAACATCCAAAATATACATCTCTCGCCGTGCCTGACAAAAAGAACAGACCATTCTCCAAAAACAAACAACAGAAAAACTGTAAGTATCAGCATGCATGTAAAAAGACAAACAAATCAGAGATGCACTTTTTTTTTTCTTATGTCTATCTGATATGTATTGCCAATCTTTATTGCCCCATTACATGGTAAAAATGAAAGAAGGATAACAAATTTTACTTGGTTCTCAAAAAAAAAAAAAAAAACAACATTAACAAACCAAACAAAACATAAGGAATAAGAAGCACATGGAGGGAGCAGGAATGCATGAGCTTCAGGAGATCTCAATGCATGATTGATAAACACACTTATGCATGTATGCATGTATCGTTTGATACATGAAAGAAATATTGATGTATGGTTCGTTTGTAAAAAAAAAAAAAAATTGTTTGTTGGGAGGAAGGATTTGTGATAACGCTCCTTAATGCCTTTGATCATATCTAAGAAAATTGTGCCTCTGTCATTATTAGTACATTCAACAGTTTGGTTAGATTCCAAAGAAATGGTACAAACTACTTGTATGAGATCAATAAAAGCAATTTTAGCAGCTAAGCTATGAAAAGTTGAGCCATTAGAGAAGCAAGCTGATCGATTTCTAAACTCAGTTTGGACTCATTAGGTCCGTTGGTTCTCAGCACAGGGTGCGGCCTGAGTACACTTCTTCCTCACTAACGGTTAGATTCCTCCTGGGCTGCTACAGAGCAGGTTCAGACAGACTTCCTGGGTTTCATCCTCAGCTGGAAACTACAGAGAGTATCCATGAGTCTGTCTGAAGGTGGATGTTTTTCCCTTTGGTCCAGTGAGTCACACACAGCAGGTTGAGCAGGCTTCCCAAACATTCGTCATCCACACAGCAGGAAATCCCAACACAGAGCCACACAGTCACGGATGCAGACACAGTTGTCATGGAGCCACCCAGAAAGCTGCTGTAGTTCAGCAACACTGAACAACAACGCTCAACTCCTCCTGAAGCCTCAGAGTTCACTCCTCCACTGAGAACTGGACGTCAAAGCACAGATTCACCAAACCGCCCAAACAATCCAAACAACAGCAACCTCATGCCTAATACCCTTCCTCTTCATACCTGCAGTTCCCAGGTGAGTGACCTGCTGGCTGCCAGGTGGCCCAGAGCATTCTGGGTCCTGTAGTCCCGATAACGGCTAAGCTTGTGTGGCGCGAACATGCTCCTAAGCATCGACTGCGAGGCAGCAGGACAGAGCCGGCGCAGACTCTACCTCTCTCTCTAAGAAAGCTTTCCTCCTCTCTCCCTCCCCCCTGCTGTCTCACTTCTTCTATCTTTATTTGAACTGTTCTCACCTCTTCATTCTGCTTTGCACCTCTCTCTGTCTCTTTGTTAAAGGCGTTGATTCCCCAAAGGGAAGGGTTCCTCACTTCCTGAGCAGGCTGTACAGCACAACATCTTCTCTTTCTCTGGTAAATCCAATTAAAATTAATTAATTAGTTAATGCCACACAAGTTAGAATCCCAAATCCCAGAGATATTTAGCTGTAAAAGTGGAGCTTCAGAACTGATTTCTTTAGATTTTCCTCTTGTAATCTGTTAAATCAAAATCAATGTTTCTTCTTGTTAATATCCAGACGTTTTGCGATAGGAATGCATATTTTGTAAATTCATACACAAAATAGGATAACAAAACAACTATATCCCCATAACTATGCAGCTAAAAATGTAATTTGCACTGCATTTAATGAAAGCATCACCTCTCAGTGTGAATGATTTCCTAGTGTGGCTGAACCCACTGGGCACCTGAAAGCTACTCTGCAGCAAGAGCAGCTGATAAAAACAGACTCTGGATGATTTCTCTGACACTGCGAGGAGTTTGGAGGCCTGACAGGTTTCTGAATGTTGACATTTCAAATCATGGCTTTGCGAGTGTCTGTGTGAGTCAGATCGCAGATGGAGGATCAGAGCAGAAGTGACAGGATGCTCATGTAGCACCTCCTGATTACAGGATTCAAACTGAAAACCCTGCACCTGTTCTGCAGGTATGTTTCACCTGTGTCCACCCACATGCAAACCTGATATGGGAATCTAACCAGTGATTAAACTGTTTACATTG